GGGGAGAGCAGGGACAGAATTCATTTCAGCTCAGCAGATCACAGCAGTTTCTTAAGAGTTAACTCTGCTATCCCCATCCATCAGGCAGCCAGTGAGGCATCAGGAAGGAATGATGGATGTAAAATTATTACAGGGCTGCCACCCGATATACTTACTGCCATTTGTAACTAACGCTGGAACTGACACACTTTTTTCATTATTAAACATCCACATTAAGTCAACATTGGTCACTGTCATTTCATGTTTGGCACTCTCTTAAGGGGAAGAGGGAGAGTTGGGGGTGGGATTGGGGAGGATAGTGGGAGGAGGGGTGAGTGGGAATGGGAGGGAAGACATCCTGAACCCAGTGTTCCATAAGCATGAGTAATAAATAGGCTCCTGCTTACAATGCTGGAATAAATATTGTTACAAATAGCTCTTTAGTTACAGCCCAGCAGACAAGTACATGTCAGAGCCTTTTAAAAGGACACACTCCAAGCTGTAACAGGGAGAAGTTGTATCACAGGTTAAGAAACACTTAGCACAGGAGGTGTGGGTAATGGGATGTACTCAGCTCAGAGGGCGATTGCATCCCTGCACATCTGAAACCCTTGTGTGGCTGTGTCTTTACACAGCTGCCTGAGCCGGCAGCACCTTCAGCAGCAGGCACCAGCATTCAGAAACCAGGACCTGTTTTTGTACCAGCCTATACACTGACACACGCTCAAGTACCTGCCTTGTGTTCCCCCTTCCTCCTTTTGCAGTTACCAGTGCCTGAGAGTCTGACTGCAGTCAGAGAATTACTGGCTAGCGCAGTGCATGTTTGTGTTGTGCATCCCTGAAGGAGTGCACTGCAGGCTTGGATGCATGCACACACATGCTGGCTCTTTGTGTTTGTGTACAACTCCTTTGCAGAGGAACAGGCAGCTTTGGGGCTGAATAGATAGGCCAGAGATCACTTGCTGATGCTGCCTGTTGTGCTGTTTACACCAGCTGACAACCTGCACTCTAAGCTACATGTATAATAGGTAACATTGTTTATGTATAGTACATATCAAGCTATAATTAACTGTAGATGACAATTACAAATAAAACTATGCTCCCGGGTTTCCAAGAAACCAGAAAAACATATACACACACACACGTCTCATTTATACACCAAAATGTTTCCAAGAAAAGTAATGTAAAAATATGTTTTATTGCATTTGCAATTAAAATAGGTTTTAGTAAAATCCATGTTCATCATGATGCTCATAGTTTTTACTGTAATCCTCTGAAAATCAAATCTGTCAAGATGGTCCAAGTTGGATGCCCATAAAGTGACTCACCCAAATCATCTTACCCATTTAAAAAAATCTTCTCTTATTTATGACTCCTTTTATACAGTTTCTCTATAATTCCACAAAATTCCTGTCTGACTACTGCCTTAGCTGGCATGTCTGGCTGTCCATGGGGATCAACCCATCTGGGAACACAAGCAAGATAACAGGTCATGTACATGTGAATGAAAAGCCCCAAGAGCTTTAACAGAGACTCGCAGAGGCGATTTGCAGCCTCAAACCTGCCCAGCTACCCTTGGCAGAAAAATCCCTACCAATCCCTACCATATACATAAGAACTGCACAGAGCCCACCTCCACTGGTAGGCTGTAGTAGCATGCACGCAACAAAAAGCTCAAGAGGTCTCAGAAAAATCCAGAAATACACTAGCCACTTCCACAAAGAAGGGATTGCTCCAGATGGGTTGTTGCCTTTAAAGACTGAGGTCGCTCTACAGGAAGGAGAGTCTTTCTTCTGCATGTAACTACAGGCTTAATATAAATTTCTACATTGTGCCCACGAACACATAGATAAAATTTTTAATTCCATCCCCCATCTCAAAAATCTCCCAGTCAGGAAGTGATCAGCAAGCAAACACGATGTCCCAAAAGGTCAGGGGGTTGCCTCTAAGTCCCATGGCAGGAGTTTGAGCTTCTGAAAGGGAAACCTTCAGTGCTAACACTGCAGCTCTATTTCTCAGTAACCACCTTTCCAACTATCTCATTTTCTTCCTTTGAAAACAAGGAAAACCAGAATAAAATTTAATTCAAAAGAAGTCCTATATCAAACAGACACAAACTTCAGAGAAGTTGGTGTGTTTGTCTGGATCTGAACTTCAGAGCTGGCTAGTCAGTGGAGAGCCTAGAGCATAAAAGAGGAAGGAGAACAAGTATCTAAACTTTACATACTATGTCCTTCCTCTCTGGGGTCAAATGCAAGAGACAGATCAGAAGACCCTAGAAGTTAAAAAGTGCTTAGTGGCTTAAGTGGTCACCTCAGCAACTTAAATGCCATTATAGTCTAGCAGGGCTCAGACTTGGCTCTGTCCTTTCCCATCTTCACTTTAAAAATAGAGAAAATTGAAGAAAATTGAATAAAATTAATCATGGAATCACAGAATCAATTAGGTTGGAAAAGACCTCTGAGATCATCAAGTCCAAATCAGTGAGCCTCAATAAAGTTTTGGCATTAATTTTATTAAAACACACAAAGCATACAGTTGCTTTAGAAAAATTTTCAATTGAGCAAACAATTTTTTCTTCCCGCTACCTTCTAAAAGAACTCGTCTCTGCTCTCCACGAGCCCACCAGGAGGCATGAATTAGAGAGGAAAATAAACTTCAACTGGGGTTGAGGGTGAGAAGTGAAAACAGAAGGCTAAGGAGGATCCCAAGAATAGGAAAGTAACGGAATAAAGTGAATGCAGATGGTTCCACTCCTGTTACTTAATCAAAAGGCTGTGCAGAGTCACTAGAGCCAGCATAAAGTCATGTGTTAGAACAACAGCTGATCTGTATTAAAGAAGATTAACTCGCAATGCCATGGTGGAGGGCCTGGGATTATTTTATGTGCTTCCACTGCCGAACAAGCCGTCAGCACAATTACTGCCCTCCGATGTGAATGACTGATCTGTAACCACAGCTAAACAGCATGCTGCTTAGGGGCCTGGGTGCTTCATGAAGATGAATTTCCATACCATCAAAGTGCTTTTAATGGGCTTCCTGATCCAACCACAAGGCCTGCTTTGCAAGTATATAGAACTCAGGATGAAGGCTTCCTGTCCAAAAGGATTTGGTCGGTTGTCACTTGACAATTCCCAGCCAGCACAAGGGAGGAGAGGGGGGAGATAGGTAGAGTTGTCTCTGCTTTGGAGGATTAAAAAAAAAAAAAAAAAAAAAAAAAAAAAAAGGGTACAGATGCTTTCTGAATGCAACCAACTGCTGTATCCACAGCTGAATTCAATGCGCTTAACAAATAACGGCAATTTAGCTATGCTTGCGAGGAATAGCTTGAGTCACTTTGCATTAGCATCTGGCTGAGTGTTAAAGTCATTTCTACATGGGGAGCAGAGAAAAGGAATTTCTGCTCCGAGCATCCTTTCAAGAATGCTTAAATATTTGAATATAAATTCCTTTGTGCTTGTGATCACTTCTTCTTATATCTGACACTCTGCTTTTCCCTTTTCCCTTCTGGTACTCTTCTATGTGAAATGCCATAAACATGCTCCATCCCTCTCTTTCTTTCCCTCTCCCCACACCAGCACTCTTATTCTTCTAAGAAGATACCTATTACCCTGACCTCTTTTTTCCTTCCCCTTCCTCCCAAGAAAGTGCATGAAATTGGAGTCATTTCTACATCACTTACACTCAGGACAGGCTGATGAAAAAAGTACAGTGGTGAGAGACTCACATGTACGTTTAACATTCATTACCCAGGCTGCTGGCTCCTCACAGCTTATTGATCAAACTCCATCTAAAAACAGGGAAAATGGAAAGCTATCCAAATTACCAATCTGCTCATTCTGGACAATACTGTTTGACTCACAGTCTTCCTAGGATGACTGAATTTCAAGTTTCTGCTAAATAGCTGATCATTTTTATTCCATCTATTTTTCTGCCTACCTCAGTGAATCGCACAAGACCTTAGAGTGCAAAGCCAGTCAAAGTGGTTTCAATAAAATGCAGTTGACACCAAATGTGACAATGGAGATCCTTGTGGTACTGCACAAGGATGGATGTATCATCCCAGAAAATACTGAAGCAGAAGAGAGGAACTGAGGAACGAGTCCTGCTAAGCATACGATGCTGAGATGCACGCAAGCATCTGGATGTATATCTTAGGTGGCAGAATTATAAGGACAGTTCACTATAAATGTGGCAGCAAGGACTGGCAGGTCTATTTATCCTCCATAAGCCAGGGCAGTGCACGGAAAGACATCAGGTATTTCCAGAGAAAAGCAGCAAATCACAACCTCACTGACATACAGGACAGTTACAGCGCATACAAATTTTTCTGGAGAATATTCACTTTGTTGGTATTTTGTCATAATGCAGCTTCACAGGCCAGTCCAAAAGCAGAAGGTGGTAAGGTCCATACTTTCTGCTGCCTCTAAGTTTCACTGAAAATATTTGGTGCAGTTTGTGTTGTCAATTCTCTGCTTTTTCAATTTTGTTAAGTCATCTAACGTGACATGACAGTGCTACATTGCAGTGGTCACAAAATATCATATATGACAACCTCACAAGGCTAAATACCCAGAAGCTGAGCCTGAGTATCAGCAAAGCTTATGTTCCTAAAGAAGCTTGAATATTTCAAATCCAGCTCATCTCACAAACACATGTAAGCATTTCCATAATGCAAGATTTCCACTTAGACCCAGAGATTTCCAAGATCACCTTCTCTTAATACACGCTGACAGGCTGGAACAGAGAATTAGTGGCCTCCAAAGTTCTTGTGAGGGCTTTAACTATTTCTGCCTCCTCCCCACTCTCCCCCAGGGGTCTCCACGTCTCTCTCTCATGTCATCTTTTGGTTGTGGTTTTCATTTTGCTTTTCGCTTCTTTTTGAACTATTCTGTTTAAAAATGGGGAAGGAAAACCAGAGCAAGAAAAAGGAGGAAAGGAAGGGAGGAAGAACCTAGGTATCTGTAGGGAGAGCCAAATGCAATCTCTGACCCCTTGCAAAGGGGGTCTCAGAAACTCACCTTTTCTGTCCTGCAGTTGTTGAGACCCAGGCTGTTCACAACGGCCACCTTCCCATCCAGCACCTGCTGCTCCCTCCGAAGTTGCTCCTTCATCTGTCGGGCCTCCTGGATCGCCTTGGTAACAGCATCGTGGTCATTTAAATAACCTGGCGACGTGATAGAAGAAAGGATGTCTTAAAAAAAGAAAGTTACAAGAAAACACTTTAGCTTTCATCGATGAAACGCGCGGTTTATCGTTATTAACGAGAAAGAGTTAAAAAGCAAGGCCCAGAAACTCGTCCCATGCTTTGTAATTCTGTTGTTGTTATGATAGAGCCACCTGGATAGAAAGAATGAGAAACCTCGGTGCCAAAATCATCCTTCCTGCTATTTGATCCCATTAGTTTCAATATTTCCCTGACACTGCAGAGGTTAGCCCTGTGGTTTGTATGCAGCAGGATGTAACCGGATAAGAGTTAGGGGAAGCTTTGATCATGCCAGCAATCCCAAACTCTTAAAAATAGACCATTTCATTCTTCCCCTTCTTAAAACTTGTGAATACATTAAAATAAACCACAGGTGGCGGTGGTTTGCTATAGATATGAAATGCATAATGGCTGGAAAGAGAAACCTCATCTACCGAATGCTCCCCACCACCACCTGTCATTCACAAATGTATAAGAAACCACAGCTACACGGACCTACATTCCCACTCCTATTCATGCTGCTAATAGTAGGTCAAATGTCCACTGTTTTGCTGCAAATTCACAGCCTAGGGCTTAGCCTTAGTAGTCACTGAATTATTTCCTTTTAAAATGTTACAAGCATCACCGGCACAGCTAATACTATTTAATTTTAAATGTGACACTTTGTCATTTTTTTCCTTTAGCGTACTGTAGATTATACTTATTATGATCTGCATGTGATTTGTAGGATAGAATACTGATGGGAGACTCCAAGCCCCAGTCTATTTTTCAAACATTAAAGGAGAGGCTAATATCTATCAATCTCCCTCCCCCTCTCCACATCCCCACACGTGTGCGCACGCACACACTTCTTTCTGTCTTTTAACTAGGGCATAAAAACGGCATAAAATGAATCTGTAATATGAAATTGCCCAGAAAAGGGACTTCTGTTTGTGACATGAGGCTAAATCTAACCAGATCCATTGGTGAATTGTGACAGATGGAGGGACTGTGAGACAGAAGGCAGGCACTAATCACACACAAAATGACCGGCTTGCCTCAACATGTTCCATGGATTCCAGCAAACTTTACACCCTAATCCATTTTTAGAACAAAAAACATCTGGGCCATAAATCCTCTAATCTGCCAAAACACGCTATTAAATCCCATGATTTGTTGAAAAACACTAAGATTAAAGAAAGGAAATATAAAATGGCTAACTGCCGTGTTAGGAAAGTGTTATTAATACTCTTTCTTTGTCTCAATTATGAATGTTCTGTTCCTAAAGAGCCTTGTCTAATCATGTCAGATTACACATCCTTGTTGTATTGCTAGACTCTTCTATCTGATCCACTGATTGCCAAAAAACGTAGGACATTGTCTTGCTGCTTAAAACATTTCAGGGGAAGAAGCTGATGTCAGATTAGTTCAGTGCTGTGCTGCTGTCAGGATTTTAGTTTGGTTTGGGGTTTTATTGTTTTTTTAGACTGCAGACAGAATGGGACTGGTATTCCCATTTTCCTCGGAGTGCAAAAACTAGAAAGAAAAGTTTCTGTGCGGTTTGACTGCTGTTAATTGTACTAACAGTTAGCTTTTGGCTAAATCCCCAGGAACCCTGAGAGTTTTATATGAAATAACTCGATTCACATTGCTTTTATCAAATGACCCAGTTCAGTAATTCCCAGCCAATGGAATTCCAGTAATTCCAGCTTTCCCGGCATAAGGAAGGATATAGCCTGCACCAGCACAGAGCTACCAGCTGATTTTTCTTTTTTCTTTTTTTTTTTTTTAAACCTCCATTTTATCAACTTGCTTGGTTTCTTCCCCAGTTTGCATATGTTACTGATCAACCTCGCATGTAGTCTGAATAAATTAAAAAGGAAGCAAACAAACAGTAGTATTAGTGCTGGTTGTGCTCTTGATTAGAGTAGGTATAGTACTTTCAATGTGCAACAGAGCTGAATTTGCCTAGGAACTGGAATTCATGTCCTTCTCCAGACTATTTGGCTTTTCCTGAATACTGCTATCTTTGAGACAGTTTGGCACATGACAGTGAATAAAAGCAAGCACTCCTTATGTTTTTCAGTAGCTGCCAAGATGCTGGTGTGCAGGGAAATGATTAATATAGAAGCGACTTGAATGTAAATTATTGTTGTTTAGGGTAGGTGGTGAATTATTGACAGAGAGGGGAACTGCATTACATAAAATGCACTTAGTTACAAGGATTGCCAAACTAGCACAGAGATGTTGCAGATAATGGCAAAGAGCAGAGAGAAGTTGTTTCTGTTTTTAGTACACGGACATATGCCTGTTCCCAAAAAGAAATGCTTGGATTTAAAGTCATACATGAAGCCATGACATTTGTGACTGCTCAGTCTGTAGCACAATTTATATGCTATAAGGATAGCTCTGGAAAGGGCTGTGTATCCGTATGCCCGAGTGCAGCTATGCTGTTAATCACTGAGGCTCCAATTTACGTCCCTCAAAGAGAACTGAACAATACCCGAGCGTTTCTCCACGCCATGGGAGCTGAGGGGCCTGAAAGGACTGCTTTTGGAGAACAGCTCTAATTTGAAGTTACTGGTGGTGAAAAGTGACGGCTCAACTGCATCCCAGCAAGGTGGGCTGTGCACACCTAGGGCAGACAACTTGTGCCTTGTGTTGACAGCTCCAATCATTCAAATGGTGAAGGCAACTGTCTAGGAAATGACTCAAGTGTTTCCCAGCGAATTTTTGTAGAGGGACTTATCGCTCAAGATAAGAATGTGATCCAGTTTCTCTACCATTTTAAGGACCGTAGTACCTTTGCTAAAAATGCTATCAAGTTTTTTTTTGTGGTGTAGCTCCTGCTGGAGAGTGACTTGAAATTTCACGCTCACTTCAAGATCATCAAACGGTTTCATTACAGTAACGAGTTCAACTTGTTTAACTTTGGTTGGATTTGACCTAGCAGTTAGCAGAAGACTCTGTAGGGTCTTCAAGAGCCTTTTCTTCTTCTAGTCCTACATTAAAGGATAAATCTTTGTTAGAAGTACATTATGTCTGTCCAGCTCCTGCACCAGTTAAAGACAGCTTATCTTATATATACAGTATGCACAGTGATACTGCACAGCAACCTCAAAAAGTCACTTTCTATATTTGTAGCTGAGAGATATACAGCAGTGAACTCTATGTCATTAACAATAACTTAAGTATGTTATCTTTTGCTCCACAGTTTTCCATGGTTTATTAATGGTATAACACATTAATTCTTCTTACAAGAGTGACCTTTAAAGCTCTGTTCATCCTCACAGCTTTTATCCAATTACATTATCACTCATTACAGGTACAGCATTTCAAAATCTGCATCTTGTTAAAAGAAGTAAATTGCAGGGGTCTCAAACCTATGAAAAATATCAGGTGTGTAGGGAAAGAAGATTGGAGAGGAGAGAACAAGAGATGTCTTGCCACTGAGATGTGGGTCAGATGCTTAACTCCCCATCTAAATGTGATGCTAGCTCTGCTTAAGGACAAAAAATCTAATGTGAAAAAATTGAAACCCCATGCATTGTGCATGGAGAGCAGCAGGGTCAAGCAAATTAAAGATGAAATGCATTACTACCTACCACAGTTAAAGAGTGCAGGGTTAATAAAAAAAGAGGTGCTAACAATTAGTAATGTCATATTTTAAAAATATTTCCACAGTCGTAATGTGCCACACCAAATAAAGTTTACTGCATTGCACTGCTGTATCACAGAAACAGCTTCTGATAAGTTTGACCTATGGCTTCTTTTGGTTTTTTTGTGCCATCCCTGAAAGTGGCCAGCAGGAGATGCTTTAGAAGAAACACAGAAAAGGTACATCCACCTCCTTTAATTCCAAAAAGAGAGGCTGATTTACGTACTGAAATCTTAATTCAGGTTATACTCCATCACTTCACGGAATAAATTATTTCAGTTACAAGGATGAAGAATGGGGGGTGGACACATTTTTCTTATATACACAAAGAGCAGTCCCTTTAACATATCAGATGTGTAAAATCACCACTAACATTGTTACTATTTAGATGGTCTTTGGGCAAAGATGTAATTTTGGCAGGAGTAAGAAATATCACTGTTTTCTGGAACAATATTAAAAACAGCCAGTCAAGACTTTTTGCAAGATACAACATCAAATTTGGATTTTTTTAAATGAACATGGTAATTGTTTTGCTTATTACACCAAGGTAAAATAATATTCCATGCAGCTTTTCAGCAGACTAAGGATTAAACCTGTAATTTTGGAAAGATGTAACTTTTAAGGATATTTTTGAAAGTTTATCCATTGCTTTTAGAGGACATAGTATAATATCACAGGTCTGTAATGCCCATCATTAGACAAGTCACTGTTTTTAATGCATGCCATCAAACAAACAGCATTTATTAACTTTTACTGGTAAAGCAGTATCTGAAATAATACAGGTCTTTGTTTTCTGAGCCGGTAAAAGCTCAGATACCCCTCCTGAAAGGTAAGTCTCTCTGAGTTTCTTTGCTGACATCAAGCAAATGTAGTGTAATGGTCAACCTATGACAGCTCCTAGACCACTGCCTGGCACTGACTGATAAATGCCCACTTCCCATTTACACCTATGAATCATTAAAGGAGGGACACACAAGGCTGAGCTTACCTATTGTGTTAGCTCTGGCCGAAGGACTAGCTAACGTTGCTGGCACAGAGGACTTTAGCGAACTGGCCCCACTATTTATTCTCAGAGTTGGCATATGAGGAGAGGTGGGTGATGTGGGAGACTTGCCATCAGATGTCTTGGGTTTGGCTGAAAGGTTCAGAGGCTGGGCCACTTCATCCTACGACAAGCAGAAAAGAAAAGAATGTTATTACAAAACTGCTGTTGGCACAACACCGTCCAAGCAACGACAGCTGTTTTCAGCTCATATGAACTTCTAAACCTGAAAGGTTGTATGATATATATGAAGATCAAATGTGATATCATCTTGTCACTCCAGTTCGGAACTGAAATGACTGATAAACTGGAAAATTAGCATGACATGATCAGAGAACATCGTCCATTTGCACTTTGGATGAGAGTTGTCTCGGAAGAAATTATTCCCATCAACAAGATATATGCTTCTATAATGAAAATTCAGAGCAGTTTTCCAGTTATATTTCTGTTATTTTATTTTAAATGTTATATTCCTTAATGAAATAAGAATTGAAGAGCATATTCACTTAAAATTCAACCACCACCATCCAAACTGGGCAAATGTGTTTAAGTGAATGGGGTTTCCGTTGGGTTATTTTGATGGTCCTTTTTTTGTGTGTTTTGGTGGGCTGGTTGGTTTGGGGTTTTTTGTTTTGCTGTTTTTTAACTTGTCCTTTCCCCTGCACTTCCCAGGCTTAGAATTCCAAGCACAAAAATATCATAGGAAATAAATACTTCTCCTTCACCTTAATGAGAAAGCAGAAGAAACCTGTCCTTTCTTTCCACAAAATCTGAAACAATAACCTGGATAATTCTGCATATAGCCATAGATGTTTTCCTCTTCTGCAAAGCTGAACTTCCAGATTTCAGTAATTATTATTATTAGGTGAAAATAGAAAAATTGGGTGACATTTTTTGCAGGGTAACTGGAATTATTCCTAAACCTGGCTTGATTACACAGAGTGACAGACAGTGCTATAAAACACATTAAAATTCTAAGGCATGTTTTTTTGTTTGACCAACATAAAATACAGTGAGGGGAAAAAAAACAGAGAAGGGAGAAAAGGTTTTTCAACGAATGGGGTATTTTAGAAGTTATTTTAGCTGACTTTTAAATAGCCAGAACTAATGAATATGGTATTAGATCAAATCATCACATAATAGCTTAGCTCTTCTCTGACACTGTGACTTAGGAAAATCATCCTTTAGCTACAAAATATGTTATATCAGACAACTGGGTTTCAGCTCTAGGCACTGAAGAAACTGATTCTGATCTCTCTAAACTGTAAGTACATCTAGTTTTATAGAATTATTCCTGACTTACAACAATGCAAAGCTGACTGGAATTAGGCTCGTAATGTTTGAGTGTTTTACTGTTATCACGGAGGTATCTCTGACTACTATCATATAACACTGATTCTTTTCCACAGAGGGTGGTGTGCTGCAGTAAAGAAGGAATTTTATAGTTGCCTATAGCTCGTGGAAGTATGATGTAGATGTACATCTACAAACACAAGACAATTCTGCAAAGCACCGTCATATAACTTTTCCATTGCTTAAAGAAGCAAGCTCTAAGCAAAGTACCTTTGTTATATTTGATTATTTCTACATAGTTTTGGAACAGTCATAGCAGACAAACATATCAGAGGCATAATGGACAAAGCTGTCATCCTTAAAGTGGTGTCTAAGCCACCCTCGTGCATAAAATAAATGGGAAAAAAATTAACACATAAAATTTGTATTAGGAGCCTATATTCTGTATTCTCAGAAGTGAACTAGGCACCTAGAAGGCAGACATCTGTTGATCTTTTAGGAGACCTAAGCAGCAGGGTTAAAATGTTACGAGCACAACCAGCATTTGACATTTTAAGAAGGGATTCGTTACTTTACAGAAATACAAATCCATTGTATTAAATAGGTAAAAATAAAGATAAAATCAAATTAGAATAAAACAACCTACTGGCCAAATGGAAGGGGGGCTTGCTCTGCTGTTCACCCAATTTCAATTAAAAAAACAAAAAAATCCCAAAGCAGTGAACTCTAATGTTGTGAAATCAGTACTGAGAGCGTTGCATAAAAGTTTTAAGTACAAATGAGCCAATGAACCAACCGAACACAGTGACCCTGTGCCAGACAAGGATCTCTGAAGAGCAAAGTCATCTACCTGGAAGACAGCATCAGAAGCAAAGTCAACCTGCCCACAGACTTGTTTCGGTTCAATCCAAGAGGGTTTAGTTTCTATGTACATTCAATTCTTGACCTCTGTTTTAAGTCTCAAGAAAAGGGACTGATTAATGTCAGAAATGGTAGTAAAACCTGCAGTGTGCTCTCTGGCCACTGGAAATCTGACCAAGAGCAGCAGCAATCCATAGGGAGCAGCAGCCAGTTACTGATGGGAATGGGTATCACTCGCTGCAAAGGCAGTTTGGATTCCAAACTGAATCCTCATGTTGAAAGGTTTTTTTTTCAGTCTCATCCTTTTGCCTCAATCCCTCACCTATCCTATCCCTATAAAGTTTATTTCCTTGCCTCCTCTTGCTCCTCCTTAGTTCCCTTTTTTTTTTTTAATCCTGGTGTGAAGGCAAGGTCTTGTACAAGTCCACTATAAAAGAGTGGTTTTGGTCTCATTTAATGTGAGTTAGAAACGGGGGGAGGTGGTTTTTTCCATTGTAAGCATCCAGCAATGAGGCTGTCTGTGTTGTAACTATTCTTGGTAGTAAGAATGCTCTTCTTCATTCAAGTCAGCACAGTCGTTTCTGGAGCCAAGAAATACAAGGCCTTGTGGAAATAATAGAAGTCGACAGTTCCAGAGCTGATAAATGTCATTCCAAATTGCCCCTTCATTCACTTTCATTGTGTGTTCAGGCTAATGGTAAATTAATCGGAGGTCACAGAAGCTTGGTTCTCATAAAGGAGGATAAGTAAACAATTTTCAGCTATTTTATGTATTTACCAAAATGATATTACTTCAGTGTTTGGTCTTCATAACATTTTTACTTCTGTTATTTCAAAGAGCATTCTCAAATCCTCGCTGGAAGTCAAATGCATTAAAAATTCAGTCAGACAGTTTAGAAATCCTATGTTGCATCATGAGTTGGTAATAATTTAAGTAATTTCCTTTACCACAGTGGAACTACACTGATTTATTCCAAAAGACTCTAAAAAACACCTGGGAGACAGGTAATAACATACAATTGTGTTAAGTGTGAAGATGACTGTTAGGATGTTCACTCCTATAGTTGGTGAAACATTTTATCCTTTTTCCTTCCTGCAGCCATAAATTCAAAATCCTCTGCTCTTGCAGTTTAAATCAAGAACTGTCTTCATTATGGATCTGAGCCTGCATAACCACAAAAAGAATTAGGTGTTCGTCTACCTTTAATTTTTAACTATAAAACCTCCCATTTAACATTTTGCCACATTACAGATTAGCAAGCTTCACTTTCAGTTATATCAAGGCTGTGTGTAAGTGCAGCATGACAACTAGGGTAAATAGGAGAAACAAAAGAAATAAAAATACCGGTAGTATCTTCAGGTAGATGGTATCTTTCAACAGCCAGGAGATTTGTTTTTATGCAGTGGGTCACAGGATCTAGAACTACTCCCTGCATTTAAGTTTTTATTAGAGAAAGTACTGATTGTTCCCTGACTTCTTCTGACATGCAGTTATTCTAAGGTGCCGTTGATAGGGGCTTTTTCTCCCAAGCCAGTATTTTTTAAGAGTTAAAGTCAAACATTCATTTATATATCAGCCAAACTGATTAATCCTTAGACCAAAGGACTTTAAGACTCAAAAGGCTTGTAATAATATAAACACATGTGATGAAAGTAAAATATGATCTTGATTAAAGGTTTTGAAATGTTTTTTTTAAAGTAGCACATTTGTCTAACAAAACAAAACACACACACACACAAAATAAATGTAGAGAGTAAAGCATAAGCAAAAACACATGAAGGAGGGCTAATAAAATAAAGTACCCATAGCAAGAGCAAAGCATTAGTAAAGAGATTCCCATCCCCTGTATCACAGCAGTGTCAGAACAGTCACTATTCTGGGAAGAGTTGGTTTACTTCCCAGGACTGGGAAGCAAACTTCCCAGGACTGGAAGACTGTCATTAACCAAAACTTGAGTTTGGGGAATTTTAAATCCTTGATTTGCTCTAGATTTTTTTCCTAGATGATCTCTAAGTATACGATGGAAGAAAGAGTAACCCTTCACCTACACCAGAATTTGGGGGGTAAGTAAAAATATTCAAGAGCTGTGTTTTGTAGCTTCACTCATCCTGAATTAGTATAACTTTGAGCTGTCATATTTAAGCATTAGACACAGGAAATCTCCAAATGTAAGTGCCTGACAAGCAACATGTAAACAGAAATACTGCTGGCAAGTTGAGTGTGCATCACACTGTTTTTATAAGGTTTGTATGGTCCTTTGAAAAGGTAAAATGCTAGGTTAACACAAAGTGCTTATTAACATGGGAGGAAAAAATGAAGAAGAGGGAAAAGGAAAGGATTTGGCCACAGTCCTACAGTAACTTAGCAGCAGAGCTTCAGACAGACCCAGGAATTCTGACTCGCAGTCACCACTCTTGAAATAGTTGGCTGAAATGGTGTCTTTTCTAATCTTTCAATCATGCTGTCTCTGTTTACTTCCTCCTCAGATAAAAGGTTAATTTATCTCTATGAAGATAGATACGGAAAAAAAAAGGGAATAAAATCAGATTTTGAGAAACTCTCTAAACCATTTATTAAAAATGGCACTATTTCAACACCAAGAGCTAAATAAATGACAGATAGTCCAGAAGAATGAACTAGTCTCGGAGAATGAAAAAAAAGAAAAAGAGGAAGGATGGGGAAGAACCCAGACAATTCATTAGGATTTGATAATCTCACTCCTTTACACATTTTTTAAAGATTAGTGGACTATTAAAATACAGTAACTGAATTACTGTACTGTCATTTAAATCTGAGTGCTGTATCCCACTGTGGCACACACTGAAGGTCCAGGTTTCACGGTTTATTACAAAATCATGAACTACCCTGTGTATCATCTGACTGGCAATACAAATGTGCTTAAATGACCTGGCATAAGCACAGCCCAGCCTGCTCTGCTAAAGAGGCTTTTCATGACCTCTGGGAACAGA